CAGTATAAAAGACACCTGTCCACAACCTCAAACAGTCACACTCCAAACTCCACTATGGCCAAGACCAAAGAGCTGTCAAAAGACACCAGAAACAACATTGTAGACCTGCACCAGGCTGGGAAGACTGAATCTGCAATAGGTAAGCAGCTTGGTGTGAAGAAATCAACTGTGGGAGCAATTATTAGAAAATGGAAGACATACAAGACCACTGATAATCTCCCTTGATCTGGGGCTCCACGCAAGATCTCACCCCGTGGGGTCAAAATGATCACAAGAACGGTGAGCAAAAATCCCAGAACCACACGGGGGGACCTAGTCAATGACCTGCAGAGAGCTGGGACCAAAGTAACAAAGGCTACCATCAGTAACACACTACGCCGCCAGGGACTCAAATCCTGCAGAGCCAGACGTGTCCCCCTGCTTAAGCCAGTACATGTCCAGGCCCGTCTGAAGTTTGCTAGAGAGCATTTAGATGATCCAGAAGAGGATTGGGAGAATGTCATATGGTCAGATGAACTAGATGTGCTTGGAGGAGAAAGAATGCTGAGTTGCATCCAAAGAACACCATACCTACTGTGAAACATGGGGGTGGAAACATCATGCTTTGCTGGTTAGTCGGACTTGGGATGTACCTTCTATGTACTCCTGTTGTACTATGCGTCGACGACCTTCTCTATTATTCTCGGTGTTTTTTAGTTCATTGTCACTTTAACTAGTAAAATTTGTGTTGATGTATGTTGACGGTACATGTGGTACATGACATAAATTGATTCTTTGTCACTCACTGAGGTGAGATTGTACATGTCAAAGTGAAACTGACATTTATGTGAAGAAATATCGGGGAAAAGTAAAATCGATCGATTTTCAGTTTCTTTTGTTTACAGAAAGGAAAGTGTAAAATGACATAGACGTGGGAGTGACCATATTTTAACAATACGCTTTATGTCTACACTATTCCATTTGGTTTACGTAGTTCACTTCTAAGTAATATTAGATAACAACCTGATACATTTCATTTTCTGGGTATTTGATTGAGCCTTATTTTAATTTGAACATTTGATTATGAATCTATCATCGCACTCCTGACATAAAATTAAGGATAAACATTACAACCTATATATCACCCCGTTTTGTTAATACAGTCGGTGTTTAACACGTTCAAAGGGTATTTTTCTACTCTTCCGGCATTAGAAGTAGGCAATTCCATATGGAGTTGATATACTCTCTGTTTACTCTTTTTTTAGGTCCTTAGTGTAACAGACTAAAAATTTCTGAAATAAACGTTTTAATACCACCTTTATTCCAAAACCAGTTTATTGTTTCAATAGAGTATGAAACAATATATGGGAAACAACCGTTAGCGTGTCTCCGTTTACAAAGACATGCAGAAGTTTTCCAAAAGTGGTGGACAACGACCCATAAAAACCGAGTAAGGAGGTACGTCTAGAGGAATCTCGTCACTACAAAACCCCGACAGCGACCCGTTGTGCCTGAAAGTGAGGGAGGTCTTCTAAAAGATACCCCAACCTCTAGACCTCTGCCGAATCCAGTGAGGTCTGGAACCTTACGAAGAATGCTTCGGGTGAGGAAGTCAACGGCCCGCCCCAAACCTAGTAACAACCAGCGGGGGGGGGAACGACTTTCTGGGTCGGCTGCAAAGTAAAGTTACGGAACGCACTACCTTCCCTCCACCAGTGCACGTCTTAGAGTGCCTATTACCGGGTAAGTAAGAAAGGAAATGTGCCTAGCACATGGACCAGGGAAACGT